TAATAAAGTATAATTTTATTATTAGGTGAATTTATCATTAATTTATTATATGTTTTTAATTATTATTTATTATTCTTGAGGTCCTGAGAGCTATTGAACTTGAGAGCTATTGAACTTGCTTCTGCTTTTTGAGCTATTGCTTCTGCTTTATAAGCTATTGTTTCTGCTATTATGAGCTATTGTTTCTGCTATTATGAGCTATTGCTTCTGCTATTGAATTTAAGTTAAGATACAAGCTGTATTTATAAGTATTTAATAATTATAAAATGATCATTTGGAATGATCATTTGGAGCATTTGAAATGATCATTCAAAGTGATTATTTGAAGTGATTACTATCTAAAAATAACTATCCAATAAAATATGAATATAAAATTAATCAATAGAATAAGAACTAAATATTCATATCATAACAATATTACAAAATTTGAACACAGAATTTAAAGTCTGATTTTTTTATTATTCAACTTTTGAACTTAAATCTCTCTGTCAATTTTTATTCAATAATAGAGAAACTTATATTTATAGATTTCTTAGATTATGAGACTTATAATGATATCAAAATTTTTAAAATTTTAATTATTGATTAATGAGATATTATTATTTCTAATTAATATATTACAAAATTTGAACGCAGAATTTAAAGTTTGATTTTTTTATTGTTCAACTTTAAACTTAAATATCTTTATTAATTTTTATTCAAAAATAAAGAACTTATATTTTCAGATTCCTTAAGTTATAAGTTATAAGGATTATAATAATATCAAAATTTTTAAAATTTTAATTGTTAATTAATAAGATATTATTATTTCTAATTAATGTATTACAAAATTTGAATGCAAAATTTAAAGTCTGATTTTTTTATTGTTTAACTTTAAACATAAATATCTCTGTCAGTTTTTGTTTAAAAATAGGAAAACTTATATTTTTAGATTTCTTAGATTATGAGAATTATGATAATATCAAAACTTTTAAAATTTTAATTGTTAGTTAATAAGATATCACTATTTTTTATTGGTGAATTATGTGATAAAAAACAAATAATTTAATTGAATATGTGATTATTTTTAAATTTGTATATCAATATGATATCTATTTCACTTATTCTATATAAAAACCTATTATTATTAGTAATTACAATTGATTATTAATAATATACTTCAATATTTAATTTTAATCAATTATAATCAATTATAATTACTAATATTTAATTAAAATTTCTATAGATAGTGAATAATAAGAGTGTTGATAATTAATTGTTAATGGATATAATTATAACTCAATTGCTAATAGATATAGAAATTTTTTAATAATATAAAGTACATATAATATATACTTAAAAAGTATAAATTCAACTAAAATAATAACAGTATTTAGTAAAAATTAAAAGTTTACTTAATAACAACTAAAATATTTTCATTTTTATATTTATTAAATTTTATTTTATATAATTCTTTGAATATTTATTACTATAGACAAATATTTTAAAATATACACTTTATAAGTGCACACCTTTTTAAATGCATAGTATAACTGAATTTGAACTTATAAAAGCTATATAAATACATACTCTTTCTAAATGCATGCTTTACTATAATTTCAAGAGAAATATATTTAGAGATTTGTTTATATAATATAAATAAAGTGAATTAAAATTATAAAAATTAAAAATATCTTTTAAATCTATATAACTTTTTGTAAATATTATCAATTTGTAGCTTTAGTTATGATTTATAATTTTAAAGTTCCAAAAAAAAAATTTGATTTGATTTCTGATTTAGTTCAAGCCTGAATGGACTTGAACCTGATCAAAAGTCCAGTTCAAAAATTTGAATCCAATTAAAAAATCTGATTCAAGTTCAGTTTGAGCTTAAACTGAACTCAAACCTAATCAAAAGTTCATTCAAATAAATATTTAATAAGATTCTAATTACTTTTCTCTTTTAATAATATTTATTAATTCTCTGATTTATTATTTGGATTAGAATTAAAATTAAAATTGAGAATAAGATTATATGTAAAATTGCTTTTCTAACATTTTTTATTAGTACTTCAAACTAGATTTTGACATCTGTTTTCCACATTTTTTTATTTTCTTGTGTTAAAGACCACGTGATTCAACACTGTTCGTAAACTTCCCGTTTTCTTCGCCATTATGAGACTAATACGATCACATGATATTAATCGATTCATGGATTTTGTGATTAATGAATAGCACAAGTGGTGCGTTTTTTTTGACGTCCACTGTATATAGTGCGATGTTTATTTTTTGAAAAAAGCATATAAAACAGACAAATAAAGTCAGATAGTGTAAATTTCTTCGCACGAATACACAATATTTATTATCTATAATGATCTGTATTTATTATATGCGATTTGCATTGTGATGATGATTAATTAAACATATTGAATCCTGTAGTTGTTGTGTTAGCGCCGGAAGCCGTTTGAGTAGTAGACTCCGGTAGTGCATGTGAAGCGATGTAACTTGGTAGTGATACGTCTATTTATTTTATTTATCAATGTAAAAAAATCAAGAATTAATCCTTTTATTTTTACAAGTTGATATAACAATGGCGGATTCGGCCTTTCGAAACCAACTATAAATAGCGTTATCAAAATTTTGTCTGCTTTAGTAGATCCGCCGATTTATCAAACGATATGACAGGAACGGAGGGCCCATTATACCAACTTTTACAGTGTATTAATGAAATCATAGATACCTTTACCACCAGCAACATCACTCTCGACAAACGGATTACTCATATCCCCAGTCATTCTTAAGAATTCGAGATATTCCTTCCGTAGTTTGTCAACCGACTCATGTATCGTTGCTACTTTACCAGTTACGACCATAAATATCTCGTGTTGAAGGCGCATTGTTTCTGTGATTGCTAAATAATTAAAAGATTAAGACAAAGATTAAGACAATGATTTAGGTATAGAAGATAGGTGGATAGAAAGGTAGACGATAGATACCATTAGGTCTTACTTCCCCCTGAGTTGCATTTATTATTGCAGATATGTGTCGATCGAGCTCCTATTATTTAAAAGTTAAGTCAACTAAATAAAAAGCGTGATAATAAATGCTCAAGTAATAGCACACCTCAATATTTTGATCATACTGCTCGATTCGCTCTTCCATTGACAATATAGTATCCCGAAGATATCTATGAATAAACTTGAAATTAACCAACATAACCTAGAAGGAGATAAATCACAAATCCTCACTTTTGAAACACAGTATCACTAGTGGACAAACTCGCGTCTCGCGCACTATCATGATAAACCTTTTGTCGGACTAGACTTTGGCATAGGTCGTTAATGAGACGTCGTGACGCGTCAAGCTTTTCGGTCAGGCCGTGTATATGCTGTAGATAAATAATATCTTGTGAGTATTATTATTTTTATTTTCAATATTGATTCGTAATTTACCTGTTCTACATTTCGCGCTGTATTTTCAGTTGACCTGATCGTCTCTTTTACATCTGGCCATGAGTTATCAATTGACATCATTACTTCTTTGTGTCGTTCAATTTCCTTTCTGAAAATGTTGATCAATAAATTAAATAATCAATCAATCCCATCAATCGATAACAGATACACAATAATAATAACAACGATGCATACGCCATCTCTATCAACCTCTTTCTCGCAGATTCGGGAAGCTGATGAAACTTTGTGTCCGATCTAATCGTGTTTATGCTATTCTCTGTATAAATAGGTAGTCTAAATAAATAAAAGATAAGATTAAAAGTAGTCAATCGATATAACTAAAATAAAAATAAAAAAGTACCCCGATATCGTAGTAGGCATTGTTGTTGTTGTTGTTCCGGTAGTTCCAGTTGTACCAGTGCAAGGAGCTAAAGAAAATGGTGAAGAGAAAATGTTCGATTGTTGTTGTGATGTAGTAGTAGAAGGTTGTAACGAGAATCCAGTAGATGTTGTAGTGGGTGCTGGAGTTGCTGTTGATGTACCAAATAGATTTGATGTTTGCGTTTGTGGTTTGTTTAGACTGAATGGAGTCATTGTAGTCGTGGTTGTTGTTGTCAAAGGTTTTTGTGTACTTGAATTAATTCCGGTACTACCGCCAAATATACTTCGCGGAGTTACACCAGTTGCTCCAGCACCGCCAAACCCACTCCCCCCCGGAGCATTTGAGCTCCCTGTTCCAAAACCAAAGCCAGCACCACTAGTACCAAAGGTTGTAGTTGGTTTATTGCCTTGTTGTTGATTATTACTTTGGATTAATTAATTAACAGCAATTTGTTAATTAATAAAAATGAATTCTTTAAAAATTTTGCTTAACCTTAGAAATTTAACGACAGTATAAAGCATACCCAAACATTTTCTAAATTGTAAAAATGAAATTTATAAAACGAACATCATCAAATTTTAAACAAAAATAACAGTATACACATCTCTGGATCAACATGCATTGTAACACAATCACAAGATAAATTCGAGGGCAGATGAAAAATTATTTATTTGCTTGTCAAAGGAAAAATGGCATTTCTCAATTCGCTAAAGTTCGCTCAGCGTGGTTCGCCGTCTATTCAAAAGGTAACATTATTGTTAGTAAATGAATAAATTTACAATGTGTTTTAACATCAACTAAAATATAACTACGCTTCCAGCAACAATAATATAGAAAATTATTTTTATATAGTTGACCCGAGCATATGCAACGCCACCAGCCGGAAAAGTACGGTGATTGATCCATTGTCATTTTCAATAAATAAATCGATCGGTTAATCATTCTTCTTCAAAATAAAATCAAAAAGGCTCCAATAACATTATTCGGCATCGAAGGTCGCTACGCGACAGCGCTTTACGGCGCTGCAGCAACAAAAAAGCTTTTAGATACTGTAGAATCAGAACTGAAGCAAGTCAAATCGATCGTTGAAAAAGAGCCTAAATTCTTGCATTTTCTCGAGGACCCGTCGTTGAGTCCGGCAAGTAAAAAAGCGGGGGTGCACAGCATTCTGTCGACACAAGGCAAAATTTCCGAGATCACGAAGAGTTTCTTTGATGTATTGGCGGATAATGGGCGACTTGGGAAAACACACAAGATTATTGATGCGTATTTGACATTGATGACTGCTCATCGCGGTGAAGTGTCTGTTAATATTATTTCGGCAAAAGTATTATTATATTCTCTGTTTATTTGATTTTTATATAATTAATTAATTAATTATTCAGTCATGTGGGATTTTATTTATTTTATAGAAACTTGACTTGGAAAAACTGAATCAATTGGAAAAAACTCTTAACAAAACCAAACTTGCATCAAGTCAAAAACTTATTATTAAAAATAAGGTAACTTGATTAGATTTAGGAATTAGCTCTTTATTTTTTTGTTTACCTTTAAAAAAAAAGACGCTTGCATTTCCTCTTACTGTTCCTTTTAAACTCGAATACATGCAAAAAAAAAAAAGGTTGACCCTTCAATCCTTGGAGGATTAATCATCGAATTTGGAACCGAAAAAACAATCGACTTATCAGCCGCTTCTAAAATTGCGAAATTTAATAAACTTCTTACTGGTATGTGTTTGTATTCTGCCTAAAAGTGATCAATTCTATTTGTCGATTCTGTATTGACACTGATTTCTTGCATGTATAGATAACATTTAGCGTGTTTTTGACGCGTGCTTGCGTATTTCATAGATTTGAAATCAAAAATATATATCATTCATCATTCTTATGGAATATATTTTTGTGTTTTTTAATGCATTAAGTTAATTATTGATTTTGTATCCTGCTAATTATAATAATATACTCAATCCTGAGCAGTAGCTAATAATTAGTTAAGTATCCACCTTTTTGAAGAACTCCGTGATCACAGGAGAGGATGGAGACTTTTCACTTTTTGCGACCCTTTTTCTTAGCTTTGACTCTTCCTTAACAGGTGTTTTGCTTTTTGATATTTTTGTGGTCTTTTTCAAGGACTTTTGTCCCGGACTTGAAGACGAATTTTTCTTAGGCGGTGACGACGGTTGAGATCTAATAGTAGCAGTAGATTCTGTACGACTGCGCTTTTTGGGTGTAGTATCACTTGATTCATTATCTTCATGTTCGTCATTTAGTTTATGCTTTTTGCTATTTGGTGATCCGATTGGACTATTGTTACTGCTGATAGACGGAGTAGCCTCCAACCCATCTTCATGAATTTTTAAATCAATCTTTGTAGTTGTTTGCGATGTTCCATCATCGTCATCAAAAGTTGATTTTACCATGTTTTTTTGTTCGGAATCAGCAGCTTTTGTTGGTTGCCACTTTGTTTTTTCAAAATATCTTTCGATACTGGATTTCGAGTCCTTTGAGTTAATGGGAACTATGTAACTCGGAGAATCGGTTCCCGCTTTTCCAACAGCTTTGTTAACAGGGTAACTTTTGAGTATATGAATTTCGCGAATATCATTATTATCCTTCCTTTCAATCTTATACAATAATAAATTAGTTAAGATATTCTTACATTTCAAGTTCACCTTCATATGGCTTCAACATTTCCGTCAGCTCCCGATTCCATCTTGTGCTCGGGTCCAACCATTTTTCCAGTTGTGACTCATCTAGAATCACAGGCATTCGATCATGTATAAACGAAAACTGTTTTGACGCGGATGTAGTTACTATCGTGAAAGTGTATAAGGACTCTTCGTGATCATCTATTAAAAAATTCACTGTTTAGCTTTTCCCATGAGAATGGCAAAATTTACCGAAATAATCATTTACCATCGAAAGTAGCACAATCATACAATCCAGCAAAGAACATCACCTCGTTACCTTGACGTTTCGTAAAATACGGGATCTTTTCTTTGCCTTTTTTCAACCATTCATAAAACCTAAACCACAAATTGATGTTATAGTGTGTATGTAAGTGGGTAAGTTGAAGATGTATTCCATATTATACACTTATTTACCCGTGAACAATAACAATACACCGTTTCGAATGTTTCATTGACGAGAACATTGGTTTACCACCTGTTAATGAATCATCTCGCGCATTTATAGTTTTCATGGATGAAGCGTATTCTGATCGTCGTTTTGTCCAAGATGGAACTAATCCCCATTTCTATTGTATAATCATATCGTAAAGTTAGATAGGTCGGCAAAGTTATTAAAAAAATTACATTGGAATTCAGTATCCAAAGGATGAATGAAAAACGCGCAATTATTCACTGACCATGTAATGAATGATGTTTTCACGAGATTGTGCATCACATCGAACAACTGGCTCGTAATATGTCGGCGTTACATTATACCTACGTATATAGAATTCATTAATTTAATTATGTATAGGATTCATTAATTTAATATAAAATTCATTGATTTAATTATAAGTTCATTAATCTAATTATCAAATTTTTTATAAAAGAGAAAAAAGAACAGTATGTCTATTTTATGTAAGTAGTAAAATATACTCACGAAGGTTTGTACTTGTCTTTGTCAACACTTTTGTTGCACCTTAATCTACTTTGCCGTATTATTTCTTCTAAATTGTCAGGACGCTTTTCAAAGAGACATATTTAAGAAAGGAACTTTATAAGAACGTTAATGAGAATAGAAGTTTCTTTAGTTTACCCAAAAACAAGCGTATCTACCACACATTGTTTAAGTGTTGAAGTGTTAAAATACTCACGACATGAATTATATATTGATCAAATTTCCAACGATCAGCTGACCAAAAAATCAAATTTACGATAATCATCAAAAGTTCAAAATGTGGAAAGCAAGGTAATAATAAAATATGAGTTTAGCAGAACCACGAGTAAAGCAACGTATACCTTCTGACCCAAGGAATTTAACATGGAGCACTGGTATGTTTTTATTGCAGGATGGCGTTACTGCTGAGTGTTGGTTAGACCACAAGACAGCGACTTTAGTAAACCGGAACTTCTTAAAAATATTAAGACTTAATCCCATTATAAAATATATAATTGAAATAATCAAAAAGATCAAACAAAATTCGGCTTTAAAATGCTCTCAAAAATGGGGTGGACACCTGGTAAGGGACTCGGCGTCAATGAAGCTGGTGATAAAGAGTATCTAAGAATACCGCATAAACAGGATCTTCTTGGCGTAGGCGCAAATAAAAAAACTGTTGATAATTGGTTGGATACGACAAGTGCTTTTGAGAATTTGTTGAGAGGATTGAACGAACGTCAGGATGCTTCTCGGGATGTTCAAGAAAAGAAAAAGAAGCGAAAAGAGAAACTTGACGGTGAAAGTGAGGTTAAGAGTGCCAGTAATCATAAGATAAAAAACCCTAAAGTGTCTAAAGACAGTGAAGAGGAGGAAAATGATAAAATTAAAGCAAGGAATGCTAATGTATCGACAAGTCGTCTCGCGTAAGTAAATTAGTTTTTTATTTTTTTTACTTATTTTTTTTTTGATTAAATTTATATATTCGTAAATACAGACATCGAGCAAAATTTTTACGGAGTAAACAAGCATCTGTAAAAGACAGCGAACGTCTTAACGAAATCTTAGGAATCAAACCCAAATCTATAGATATTGTCAATGACATTAACCAGAATAGTAATAAATTAAAGATAAAAAAGGACACAGACATAACTTTAGACAATAACTCTGGCATTACCACTAATGATGATAATAAAAATAATAATATCAACAATCTCTATGGAGTACAAACAAAAGTTAATCAGAAAAGCGTATCAGATTATTTTGCAGAGAAAATAAAGGGAAAGAAGCTAAAAGGAATTGTCGCTCCATCTGACAGAATAAATAGTAATGTTATTTATTAATCTACTTATTTCATTTTTATATAACAATAATTAAATATATAATATTTTTGTTCTATAGGTGTAGAAGTTGCTGGTAGTCAAATGGATATCCAATTTTCATCTTTCGCACCAACGGGATTAGGATACTCCGATAAAAACGAAGTAGATTCTTCCTCTTCCTCATCTACTCTGAATCCAAAAAAGAAGAAACGGGAATCAAGTACTACCGAACCCGAAAAAAACAATAACATCAGTAAACACAAAAATGAAAAGAAAAGATGCAGAAAACAATAGTATATAGTAGCCGATGATATTGCGAGAAAAACAATGAAGTAGTTTCAAGTTAAATAAGATTTAGATATAAAAATTATTGCTAAATACTCGTAATTTAATATTTTAGCATCATCACACGTTTTTAGTGTATTTCCTGATGGAGATCGGGATTGCTATTTTTTTTACTATAAACAACTAGAAAATATACATGACTGCCATCTCTCAACCAACATTAAAAATAAATAAAAAAAATAGTGATAGCATGCAGCGTCTGAAAATTCTCTGAAATATCCATGGAAATCATAGTTTATTATTGTCTTTAATAGCAATTAAATATCTGGCACCAACAGAAGGTTGATTGGAAATATACAAGAAATCTTTATTAAACTAGAAGTGAAATTCTAAATCAAGTTATATCATATATATAATAATTAATAATTAAAGATCAAATAATAAAAAGTGCTAATATGAAATGAAATATTAATTGGATTACCGTTACAGAATTTGAGATTTCATTACAAAGTTGGAGCCAGATAATATATGGACCGATTCGAATCGATGTCATGTGATCGATAATCATGTGAAGTTATAATGATTGGTTAATCAAAACATGCAATTATAATATTGTTATCAATCTAATATAATAAATATATAAATAGAAAAAGTACAGTTAAATATTATTGATCTAGTTATCTTTTTGAATTTTATTCTGTTTCTTATAAAAACAAATAGATAAAGTATAATAATAAAATAATGGAATTAATTATAATAACACTTTGATTATATACAATCAAATCTCTTTATAGTCACATCTATCAAATTTTGTTTTTTAAAAAGTAATAATTATAGAGAGATTTGATTGTATTTAATTTTATTATTAGTTAATATAATTCTTTTCTTTTTATTTTTTTATTTTATTTTATTTTATTTTATTTATTTTATTGTTATTTCAAATTAAATATAATTAAATTTTTCTATAATTATATTTATTTATACAATCAAGTCTTTCTATAGTTATCACCTTTAGGAAAGCAAAATTTGGTAACTATAGAGAGAATGTGACTGTAAAGATATTTTTTTACTATGTTTATATGTAAATAGGAAAGCAAACTAGGGTGATTATAGAGAGGTATGACTATAAATAGATATAACTATAGAGAAATTTAACTATAATTATATTTTTTTATTCATCTTATTTTGCTTTTTTATTTATATATAAACATAGTAAAAAAATTTCTTTATAGCTATATTCTTTTTATAATTATCAAATTTTGTTTTTTAGAAATAATAATTATAAAAGAGTTTAATTATAGTTAAACATCTTTATAATTAAATTTACTTATAGTTATCTTTCTCTATAATCATCTTAGTTTGTTTTTTTATTTATATATAAATATAATAAAAAAATCTTTTTATAGTTATAATCACCAAATTTTGCTTTTCTAATATTGATAATTATAAAAAAATTTGACTATATATTTTAATTATACAATTTTCTTAATAATTTAATAATTTTTTATATTTATTTATTTTATATTGTACATGAATTTTTTATTTTTGCTATTAGTATTAGTATAAAATTAGATTATTAATGATAATATAATTATTTTTTTATAAAGAATTAATAATTTTATAATAATTATATTAATCTATTATACTGAATATTATATTACAATTATATTATATTATATTATACTATACAATATTATATTATATTATATTAATATAATATAATATATATTGTTATAATATGAACTTTTATTATATTAATTATTTTATATCTTATTAAATAATTCATATTATAATATTATTTATTAATATTTTATTAAATACTAGCTTGAAAAGATCTTATTCATTAATATTAAATAATATAACAAGTAATATATAGTAAAGTTAGCAAAATAATCTTATCTAAACTAGTAATATAATTATAGCTAAATTAGCAATTTAATTATAGTGAAAATAATAATATAATACTAACAAAATAAGCAATTAAATTTTAGCAAAAGTAGTATAATATCATAATAAAAATGGTATTTGTAAAACTATCAAATATTATAAAAGTAATATATTTTAGCTAGTAATTTAAATAGATTTTATAATTCTCAGAATCTCAAGAATAATAAATAATAATTAAAAACATATAATAAATTAATAATAAATTTGTCTAATAATAAAATTATATTTTATTATTATTAAATTATAATTTTATAATAAACTTATATATTTATTATATAAAATTCTTTAATTAAATATTATTATTAAAAATTCCAGATCTCATTTTAGTTGATCATATTATGAATATACTATTATTTTATTTTAGAGTTATTATAATTATTATTTAATACTTGATATATTATATATAGATTTGATTATATTATACTTTTCTATTTGTAATTTTTAATAAACTTTACTATAATTACTTTGATCAAGTAACTTATTATAATATTATTAAGTATTCTTCAGCTCTCTCAAGAACTTATAAAATATAGTAATAATATATAAATACAAGTATAAATAAATATTAAAATTTAGATTTTTTTTAATTTATCTTTGTTTAATTAATTTTGAAGTTAGAAAAATTTTTCAAAATAGTTTATTATTTAGTTTTAATTCATTAAAAAAGTATCATTATTTTATTATAAATATTATTATTTATAAATTCAAAATATTTATTATAAATATAATTATTATTATTATTTGAAAGATTTATATAAAGTTTTTTTTGTGCTTTCTCTATAAAAATAAAATTTAAATTTCACTCAATCTAAAATATAAAAATTTTAATTTACTTGAAATTGATTAAAATATAATAATTAAAAACTTATAATAAATAAAAATATATATAATCATTATTTTTAAATATTATAAATTATTACTCAGTTTATTATTTAAATATTTAACTATTTTAACAAAATTAACTAGCAAATTATAAGATAAATATGAGTATTATAATGAATATAAATAATTTAACAAATTGAATATATTATAAGAAAACAAGATTTTTTATTAAATAAATTAAAATTTATCACTAACAAAATTGAATATATGTAAAAAATAACATTTTGAATAACTTTGCTTAATGGTTAAAGTTTAATTTACTTAATAAAAAATCTTGCTTTAGATGTAATATAATTATTATTTAAAAAAATTTATATTCATATATTTTCTTTTATGTATTATATAAAGTAAATTATTAAAATATAATATTGTACAATAATTGAGCTAATATACTAAATAAAATAAGAACAATATATAAAATAATATATATTATATTATTTATAGATTTATATTATATAACTTGTTGATTTTATATAAAAACTAGACCTGATTTATTTATTTTTCACATTAAATTTACTCATACAAATATATACTTGTATCAATTTTTGTATTTTATAATTAATTAAAGTATCAAAGAATATTAAACTCAGTTATTAAAATTTTGTATAATAATCATACCAAAAGTAGTTTAAAAAAAATTAAAAAATAAATATTATTCTGAATTTTTAATTTTAATAATATGATAACTATTAAAAAATATTAGTTAAAATAAATAATAAAATCAAATTAATTAAAAAAATCAAAATCAAATGCATAAACAAATTAATTTTAAAGATCAAATTAAAGAGATTGAATTTAAAACTGAATTAATATAGAAATTGAAGTTAAAATAAAAATTAAAGCTGAAAATTGAGATCAAAATCAAGACAAAAGCTAAAAAAAAATAAAACTAAAATTAATAAAAAAAGTTCAATCAGAAAATAAAAAAAAACTTAATTAAAAATATTATTATAATCTCTTTCAAATATATATTAAATACTTTATCAAATTAATTCCACTTGTTTATTCAGTCTTGCTAATACTCAATGATCATAAAAATTATATAAATTATACAAGCATTAAATTTTGTCAAGAAAATAAAATTTTACTTTGTATACTTCTTTTATATATTACATATATTCTTTAACTTCTTTCATTAAGCTTAAAAGAAAATATAATAATAGTTATAAGAGGTTATACAATAGTAAAAAAAATAAGGATTAAATACATATTTGTCAAAATTCTTGGATCAATATTTACTGCAACTTATACTTTCAAGATAATTACTAATACTTATAGAATTATAAAAATTTGAACTTTTAAAAGAAATAAAAAAATTGGTTAGATTTAAAACTGAAAATGTGAAAAGAAAAAAGAAAATAGTTATCCAAAAATAGATTACATATGAATTAGAAAAGAAATAAAAAAATTGAAAAGAAATAAAAAAAGCTAAAAATAAACAAAGAAAAACTAAAAATGAACATAAAAAAGAAAAAAAAAGAAAAATAAAAGAGATAAAAAACAATAGTAACTAAGTTTTTTTATAGTTTTTAATATAATAATAATAGTAAAAAAAATTTTTGATTTAGATTTTTATACTGATAATTATTATTTTACTATTTTACCCTTTTTAAATTAAAAATTATAATTATTTAAGAATTCTTATATAATTTATATAAAAATGAAATTTTTTTATTATAATTGTAAATTTATATAAATAAAAAAAATTGTGAAAAAAGAAATTTTTTATAAATTTTTATTAATAAAAACTATTAATTTTGCTAAAATATTCACACTTACTTTATTACTTTAAAAATATATAATTTTTAATATTTTTAATATTTTATTATTTTATTATTTTTGGATTTTGTAATTTATCGCAGTAGCGATAAATCGCTACCCTACATGTCACGTGTTTACTACCACGTGACATGTCGTGATGATTGACATAAGATGATAGACTACTCGCATCGCGTTGATGATCGTGACGTGACTTTTAACTCTTTTGTCTGCTCTTTTTTAATCACGTAATTTTTTTTGAGTTTTTCTACCTTTGACCTTTTTTTGTAGTTTATTGTATTCGCGTCGCGTTGAAGCATGGACGTAGATATTTCCGAAGTAGTTGTTTCCGAAGTAGTTGTTTCCGAAGTGGGAGATTCAGAATTAGAAGAAGTAGAACAATCCCGTTCAATTGATACAGGTGAGTGT